TATGATTACATGTGCTGTTTTTCAAGAGTGTAAAATTTTTTTCATGTTCCCTAGTTTTCATAATTGCTGTTTTTTCTATGTTGAGATGCATGATTTTCCATTGAAGTATTAATCCTAATTGATTTAACCACTTCCCTACTGTGAAACATTTTGGTTCTTTTCAACTCTGTTTATTCATTCGGAAAGCATGAAGTGCCTTTTATGTGGTAAACACTGCACTAAAAGTTAGAGACATAAATAGTCCCTGCTCTTGACAAATTCAGGAGGAAAGAAATACGGTCACTGAAGGGGAGACCTGGAACAGCACTGCCTGGATCCAGAGCTCCCATGGCATTGGTCCTGCACCCCAGCTCACTTCTCCCTCTACCAAATCTGCCTCCTCCCCCTCCCTTCCACAGGTGTCAACCCCGAGTACACCCTGACGAATCCCTTCAACGCTAAACTCTGTCTCAGTGTCTGCTTTCTGAATACGCCAACTGGTGAAACACCATAAGAGAAAGATGAGGTTGCCAGACCCTTGGGTAGAAATGGAATGTGAATCTCACATCAGGCATCAAAAGACCTGGTTCAAGTCCCAGATCAGCCACAGAGAAGCAGTGTGATCTTTTTTTTTAATTATTTATTTTAATTGGAGGCTAATTACTTTACAATACTGTAGTGGTATTTGCCATAAATTGACATGAATCAGCCATAAGTGTACACTTGTTCCCCATCCTGAACCCCCATCCCACCTCCCTCCCCATCCCATCCCACTGGGTCGTCCCAGTGCTCTGGCCCTGAGCACTTGTCTCATGCATCAAACCTGGACTGGCAGTCTATTTCACATATGGTAATATACATGTTTCAAAGCTATTCTCTCAAATCTTCCCACCCTTGCCTTCTCCCATAGAGTCCGTAAGTCTGTTCTTTAAATCTGTGTCTCTTTTGCTGTCTCACATATAGGGTCATCATTACCATCTTTCTAAATTCCATATATATGCATTAATATACTGTATTGGTGTTTTTCTTTCTGACTTACTTCACTCTGTATAATATAGGCTTCAGTTTCATCCACCTCATTAGAACTGATTCAAATGCATTCTTTTTAATAGCTGAGTAATATTCCATTGCTTATGNATGATCAGTAGAGAAAGTCTGTCTGGGTGAGGTCCTAACCTAGCACAGCAAGTTCACTCCCTGTTATCTGCAGCAACTTCACACAGGGAACAGGATGCACAGCTGCCCGTAGTGAACAGCCCACAGATCCGCTGCACAGTGGCTAAAAGTTGTCCATCCGGTGAAGATAATTCAGATACAGCCCTCTCCCCACTCTGAACTGTCAGGCCATGTATTTAGCAGCTCATCAAGCTGAGAGTTAAAAGAAAAAAAACCCTCAAGTTCTCCAGATCTTGGTCTTCTCTACCTAGCAGTCAGAGAAGCCTAGGATTTCAGAAAACCCACTATTTTTGCTGCACAAGTGTCGTGAGATCCCATGTTCCCACCTCATTCTACTGACACCAAACCGTGGGGACAAAGACAAGCAACGTGGCCTTACATGCTCCTCAGCTCTCCTTCTGAGGCCATCTCCTCTCACTGCAACCTTCCACCCTCGGTCCTGCTGACCTCTGCCTCCCTCTTCCCCATGTGCATAGGGCCGAGAAGTTCCTGAAGAGCCACTTACATTTCTCACAAATATCTGGCAGGCCTTCCTGGCCACCCCAGGGGCATGGCCTCCAGCTCCACCAAAGGAACCCGCGAAACTTCCTCCAAAGTTGCCACACTCCATCTCGATGGCACGGTCAAAGCTGGCACCGCCACCGCCACCCATGGCCAGGCCCATGCGCTCAATGCCAGCACCCAGGGCTGGGCCCATGGCAGGACCCATGAGCTCAAGGCTGTTGGCGCCTATGTGCTCCAGGCCTATATGCTCGAGACTGTTGGGGCCCATACTCTTCAGGCCCATGCGCTCCAGGTTGTTGGTGCCCATGCACTCCAGGCTGGTGGCCATGTGATCCATCATGGGGTCCATGCCTGCGGGCACCAAGTGCTCCATGCCCAGGCCCATGCACTCGATGGCAGGGCCCATGCACTCCACACCAGAGCCCATGTGCTCGATGGTCTGGCCCACATGGTCAGTGGGCGCAGCCATTCGCTAGAGGCCAAAGCCCATGCCAACAGCCATGCGCTCCATGCCAGAGCCAATGCGCTCCATGGTCTGGCCCATGCACTTGATGCTGGAGGCCATGTTGTCGAGGCCCAGGGACCCATGCGCTCGATGCCAGAGCCCATGCGCTGAACGGAGCCCATGCAGTCCATGACCAGGCCCATGCACTCAATCTTGGAGCTGACACGATCCATGCCATAGCCCAGGCCTGTGCCCATGCATTCCATTCCGCCCCCTCCCTCCCCCCCCCTGCCCAATGCGGTCAATGCCAGGGCCCATCCTCTCAATTCCAGGGACACTGCCTCTGCCTCCACCTCCTCCCTGCTTTGCAATGATGTCTCCTCTCTTCAGGGCATTACTTAGGATTTCATTTATTCTGCCCATGTTCATCCCAGATCCAAATCTACCCATGTTTTCCATACCACCACCAAAGGGTCTTTCCATGCCTCCCATTTTATTTATTCCAAATGCTATGCCTTCCATTCCCATTTCTGCAGGTCCCAGGTTGCCCATTCCAATGCCTTTATTCAAATGGTTGGCATCAATAGACTGCCCCCCTGGTTCTAACCACCAAGTCCATGGGGAAGTTGTTGTGGATGCTCAGGAAGGAAAAAATCTCCCTTTGGTAAGGCCCTCTCATCCATTTTCACGTGCATTGGTCTGTCAAACAGCAGCTGGCCATTAAACATAGATATAGCTTGCACGGCTTCAGTGGACTGTTCAAAAGTAACAGTGCCTATTCCATGAATTTTTCCGTCTTTATCCTCAAGAATGTCTGCTCGGACCACCACACCAGCCATACTAAAAATTTCCTTCAGTTTCTTCCAGTCAAATTTATAATCCAGATTTGCTACAAATACTGTGCTTCCAAGTCCTCCAGCCTGTAATGCATGGACAATCTCATTTGGGATGTTAGGATTATTTAGGATACTGGGTGGGATATTGATCACTCCTGGGCCACCTGGTCCCATACCCATCCCACCAGTCATAGCCATCACCTTTTGCATTGCTCTCCTGGCATGTTCACCATCAGGATCTTCTTTGACTTTCAGTGGTCTTCCACTCAGACTATCCTTGTTTAGAACTTCAGCAGCTTTTTTCATGCTCTCTTCCATCTTGAATTCAACAACAGCACATCTCCTTGACTTTCCTTCAGGGTCCATTAAGACTTCCATGTATGTTACCTCACCAACTTTTTCTTTAACCAGGTCTTTAAGTGACTGCCATTTCACATCAAAAGTTATGTTTGTAATGAAGGCTCTGTATCTTTTAGTTGGATTGGCTTATGGCTCAAAGCTATTGCCTCCTCTTTTTATGTTTTTCTCCTTCCTCTTCTCATTCTGAGCAGGTCGTTCTCCTTCACCTTTCGGGCCTGGAGCTCCATTGCTGCTTGGCATGCCAGGCGTGCCGCTCTGCTTCTCCATTTTGGGCTCTGTCGCTGCCACCTCGGCTGCCGCTTCAACCCCTGCTGCCATTTTCTCCACGTCTGGGCTTTGTGTGAGCGAGAGAGCTGCACGGCGCTGCACCTGCTTGGCCCATTTTTAAAGTGGATTGTTTATTTTTGTGGAATTGAGCTGCATGAGCTGCTTGTATATTTTTGAGATTAATCCTTTGCTGCTTTGTTTGCTATTATTTTCTCCGATTCTGAAGGCTGTCTTTTCACCTTGCCTATAGTTTCCTTTGTTGTGCAAATCTTTTAAGTTTAAGTAGGTCCCATTTGTTTATTTTTGCTTTTATTNTAGCCTGGTTATTTTCAGATCATTACTATTGATTTAGAGACCAAGATACAGAGAACTAAAAAAAAAAAAAAGATGAGTGATCAACTAGGCACATTAGCTTTTTCCAAGGCTGTCCTGCCTCCACTCACAGGAAGAAACACCCACAGAAAGAGCATAGAGGTCTTATTCCCTAGGTTCCTGTAATTTCCAGATGTTCTCTCTGCCTTCAGTTCAGATAAATTAACATTTAAAATGAGGAATCTATTATACAATGGCTAATAATACCTAAGAGATCATCTGAGTTTACTCTTTGGTAATTAATCATCCCTATGCTCTCCCTACTCAGTTCTTTTTTTACTTCACGGAAGAGTTGCATTTAAAAAATTCCAGTAAGATCCCACAAAGCCTACTTCTAGGTGTGTAATCAAGAGAAATGAAAACATAAATTCACACAAAAACCTGTATGTGAATGTGTATAGTGGCTTTATTTATAATTATCCCAAACTGGAAGCAACTCTTAAGTCTCCTAAGTCTATCAGCTGGTGAATGGACACACAAACCGCGGCACATCCAAAGAAATACTGCTCAGAAAGGAAACAGCAAACCAGTGAGGAGACACACAACAGCACGGATGATTCTCACAAGCGTCACGCTAAGTGAAGAAACCAGACTCAACAGCTACACACTATATGATTTCATTTATATGAAACGCTGGAGAAAGCAAAACGGTAATGGAAAGAAAACAAATTCACGGTTGTCAGGGGCTGGAGCTGGTGGCAGGGAACGATGACAAAGGGGTGTGACATGTTCTACATCCACCAGTGGTGGTGGTGGTGGTCGTGGTACAATTGTATGCACTTGCTTTAACTCAATGAAGTGCACACTAGACAGGGAGAATTTCACGGCATCTACATTATATATCAACGGACCTGATTAAAAAGACAAAAACTGAAAGACTAAAATGCTCTTATAAGAGGGCAGTACTTCGGAAGCCCAAGAGATATACTGATATCTATTAATATATGATAGCCTTTAAAAAGTAAATCAGAAAATACTGTTATACCTTAACTTCTAAAATCGAAGAAATCTCTGTTAGCATACTACTAAAAGTAAAAACTTTATCATTAAGTAGAAGGGATCAGCCTATATCAAAACTACCCAGCTCTCAGCCTGGATCCAACTGAGTCAAAGCAACTCAAAACAGCTTTCTGCCTGCTTATCACACCTACCTTTATATTATTCAAATTAACTTCAACAAGACAAGCATCATTTTCTTTAATCCTCTTTAAACTTTCTTCAACGTTGGTTGGATTTGGGGGCTCATCGAATACTGGAAGAATCTTTTCCCCTTTTACCACATCTGCAGTAACAAATGGAAAGAGCAAGCATGTCACTGATTGACACTATTATAGTGAGAGCATATATTAACTTGGAAACACATAGCACAAACACACACACACATTCAGTAGAACTAATTTATAAGTTTCTTTCCCCAAATTTCTAAAAGATCATTTATGTGCTGACACACAAAGCACTGAAATAAAATTTTACTGACTATAAGTACCAAACATAATTCAACATTTAATTTGTTTGCTATGTATTAACCTTCAAAAATGAGTATTTTCGCTGCCTCTTGCCTCCTGGTGTTTTACAAGATATCTTTATCTTTATCACAAGATATCTTTATCACAAAAATATATTTGCTGATACAAGCTGACACAAATGGTGATCCCACTTACTTTCAGCAATGTTCAAGATGAAGTTCTAATATGATAAAATCTCATAACGCAAAGTTCTAATATGACAAAATATTAACAACTGTTAAGAAATTAAGAGGAACTGAAAAAAAAAAAAAAAGAAAGAAAACCAAATGCAATGTGTGACCCTTCTGGATCCTGATTTGAACAAACCAGCTGTGCAATGACATTTTTGAGAGAATATGGAAAATCTGAATAAGGACTGGTTATTAGACAACATGAAAGAATTACTCATAATCTAAGTTTGATAATGGCATTGTGGTTACATTACAAGAAGAGCTTTTGTGAGAGACACATATGGAAATGTGTGAAGTAATATAAACAAACAGGATTTGCTTTAAAATATTTCAGGGAAAAAAAATTTTTTTTCAGGGAACAAAGTAGAACGGATGGAAGGGAGGCAGTCAGTGGACGAAGCAGAGCTGCCAAGATGTGAAAAACAGTTGAAGCTGGATAATGGATATGTTATTCCCTCTTCTATTATGTGTGCTTGAACATTTCCACAATAAATAGCAAAAAAACAAAACAAAACAGGAGAATGGCCAATTATAGAACATTCATAAAATAGAATGTTATAAAGATGTTTGAATGAGGTAAATCTATATGCACTTACTAGGAAATGTGATATGTTGCTAAGCGATATATTACATAGCATAGATTAAAATCCTCACCACCAAGTTCGTGGGATATTAAACCTAGTTTTATCATTCTAAAACTTCAGCTCCTGTAAAGTAATTAGCCTCCAATGAATAAAAACAAATGGAAAAAAAAAAGGAAAGACTTTCCAGACTCAGATAATGATTGGCTAGAAATTCATCTGCTGAACTGCAAGTGTGTCTCCATATCTTGACCCTGAGTCACCATATCTGGAGGGTGACACTTGTAGATGAAAATATGATTTATTAGATTGTTAAAGGTAGAAATCTCACTCACGATGGTAACATGTTTGGAGAACTTGACTTACCTGCTTAGGACATGGGAAGCAGAATTGATAGAAATAAATGATATAAAAATAAATAAATAAAACTTCAGCTCCTTCACAGGCAAATTAGAGATGATAATACTTAGTTCGTAGAACTGTTGTGAGAATTGAGAACAATTTACATTCAAGAGCTGTGCACAGAAGAACATGGCCCATGATAAGCATTAAAAAAAAAAAATTAGCCAGCAGAATTATTACTGAAAACTTAAGTAACAAGAAATGCCTCTTGTATGATCCCATATTTGTAAAAGAAAAGAAAAGACCGTTTATAACATGTGTACATACGTAAATTTATATAAGCATAAAACGAAGTCAGGAAGGATACATTCCAAATAGTTAATAGTCATGGCTAAGTGCGGGGAGGTGGTGTAGGAAGTAGAAGGCAGGATGACTGTGAATAGAGACACTTACTTAGAATTTACTACACAATATGCATTATTTTGGTAGTTTTAAAATGTCTTATACATAAATTTTTTTAAAAAGCTTTCCTTTAGTCTGTCTAACACTGCATCAGACAAAAAGGTTTAGGGTCTGAAGAATTCTTTGCCTTCTCCTGAATCTGATTTTATAATATAGTTTCTTTGTCAGCACTGTTGTAGATTTCCTGAAAATCAGGAACACTGAAAACAAAATGTCAATTAAAGTCAAGTTTGACTGGTTTTTATAGCATTTACCATTAGCATTATTTAGTAAGGTGAGAGTGGTTCCTATTATGTCTGCTGACACATTAAGCATACAATATTTAATATTCTGTTTTCAATGATTTTTCTATTGTCAATACTATATAACTGGAATCTCAGGATTCCAGTACACATACGTAACATCTGGCATGCAAATACTGAAGTTATTACATGGAGGAAACAAAACATAATTAACAAAAGATTAGAATTCACATAAGTTCTTACTTGAAAAATGTTCTTGGTCGACACCATTACTACTTCCCACTATGTTGCAGAACTGTGTATTCGTTATCAAATTGTGCATCCCAAGAATAGCTATAAATATAGAAAAAGAACATTATTTTATACCCCCAAATTTCTATCAGCGATTTTAATATTCTCTGGACATTTTCATATTCAATTAAACACACATTTTGTAGCCCAAAAAAGGAGACAACATGATTAAAAAAAATCCCCTACAATCTCTTTCTTATCAATACCTTTGTACTTTCTCCCCACTTCTGAATTTAGACACAGCTGGAGCCAGCTTGACCCTAAATGTAAACCTGTGCTTAGCTCCATCTGGTGGCCAAGAGAGAAAATGGAAATGATCTACTGCTATCAATCTACCCTTCTCACAGTTTCTCCAAACAGAATGTGATAAAAAACAGATTTTTCAGCTTAACCTTGACTCTTAATATTAATTTACATTTGTACTTCAGCTGAGAGCAGAGTACTAAAAAGTACAGTTGAATTCTCACATTTAAGATTAAAATCACATCCCTTAGGACTAGAAATAAATTTGGTTTTGTTTTTGCGGCCCTTTTGCACAAATGAGGCAGGAAGCTACAACTGTACTGGCCCATTCCATTCTGATGAATGTACTATTTACAAATGCATTAGTCCTCAGCCCCCCAGGCAATAAGATACCTGGCTCCAGGTGTGGTACCACACCCTGACTGTCCTTCTCTGGTTAATTCTTGGGGTTATTTGGTACTAAGATCTTCCCTTGCATATTTTTCTATCTAGGAAAATGGGTGTGGGTGGAGGTAGCTGGGGGCAGACACTGGTCCAGATAAGAAATGGGTAATGAATAATCACAGGGAGGTCTGGAGTTCCATCTAACTTCAGAAAAGTTAGGAAAGTGGGATTATAGCTCAGGACCAACTATTTTATCTAATTTCCAGTTACCCATTTCTGGGTCTTCTGATAAAATGGGATACTAGTTGACCCTGGAGACAGTTTTAGCTGAGTACCGGCTGATGAAAGTCTTTTACAGACTTTCAAAGATCTTTTACAAAGACTTTCAAAAATGGCAACAACAGGGAAAAAAGACATCCAATAATCAATAAATTCCATTAACATTAAAATTTCATCATTAAGAGAATTTAAAGAAACAAAATCCTATATGTCAGATTTATAGTGTTAAAAACAAAGCCAAATACATGGTTACATATTCAGGACCACTTCACTAGGAAAAGCCAGCATTTGTATAGTGAATACAGGCGTGTGTTGGCATTTCTCCCCTCTATTCTCACTCACAAATTAATTTATTTTAGGAGATACCTGCGAGGTCACACAATTCTGTATCAGAAGCACTTGTCAAAGCTTCTTCTAGTTCTGGATCAAGAGATACTTTTTCTTCTGTAAAAGTCTGTACAGGTTTCTGTTTGGGGATAAATATTTTCCCTGCAAAATAAAGCAGTTTGTTAATTTCACTATTACTGCTAGTAACTCATTACCATTTTGTTCTAACAGAAATTATTAGAAGTATATACAATTGAAGCTGAAATAAGAAGTCAAGATTAACATCTACAACATATGTATGTATGGCTGAGTCCCTTTGCTGTTCACTTGAAGCTATCACAGCATTTGTAATTGGTGATACCCCCCAAAATAAATACAATTCATTATTAACAACTCTTAAAAAATAAATAAGGAAAGCAAAAAAAATTAACATCGATAATAATTCTGTTTCATCTTCACTATGTATTTATAAGTTTCCAATGCAATATTCTGGCCATAAGAGTCAGAATCAAAAAAAAAAAAAAAAGAACTGAGAAATTTTCCCATTTGTGAAAGTAAAATAGGCTCTTTCTGGAGTAATAATGAGCTACTCTACAAATATTTTTTAAAAAACTAAATCATAAAAAATCTATAAACAGATTAAGGAAATAAAACAATTCACTTTCTTATTCTTAAGCAAAGGACTGCTAGAGTCCCTTGGGGGATGGTAGAGGCAATTTAACTTCCAAAAATTTGGACTCCCCTGGTGGTGCAGTGGTTAAGAATTTGCCTGCCAATGCAGGGAACACGTGTTCAGTGTTGGGGAAGATGCCACGTGGCACAGAGCAGCTAAGCCTGTACGCCGCAACTACTGAAGCCCGTGTGCCCTAGAGCCTGGGCTCTGCAACAAGGAAGACCCCGAGGGATGGGACGGGGAGGGAGGCGGGAGGAGGGATTGGGATGGGGAACACATGTAAATCCATGGCTGATTCTTGCCAATGTATGGCAAAAACCACTACAATACTGTAAAGGAATTAGCCTCCAACTAATAAAAATAAATGAAAAAAAACACACAAGAAAAGCCACCGCAATGAGAAGCCTGTGCACCACAAGGAAGAGCAGCCCCACTTGCCCCAACCAGAGGAAGCCCTTGCATAGCAATGAAGATCCAATGCAGCCGAAAAGAAAATAAAACATTTTAAACAACTTCCAAAAATTTAAGTTCTAATTGAAAAGAGATTTCTGTATGTACTGAGTGATCATCTGAAACCTTCTGGCACTGTTCTTCTAAGCCTTGAAGGGCAGTAACAAGGTTACTTAAGAAAATAGTTCTTCTAGAAACCCACAGTACTTGGTATGTGAAAATTTGATATTTTATTACCATATGTTCAATGAAAAATTGAAAATGGGAAGGGAATGGAAAATGATAATGATATAACTGTAGCACAAGCTGACCAAACAAGATATACTTACACACAGTGGCACCAAGTTACCAAGACTGCCTCTCATTTACTTCCTGAGAGAGGTAAAAATTGTAACTAAGTAATCTAGGAAGGCATGTCTTCACAGAAGTTCAATTATTTTCTTTTCTATTAGAAAATTACCAGGAAAATATGTGAGGCCAAGTGGCCTGGTAAATCTATGCAGTGTTCTATCAAAAGAAATATTTGTGGGCTTAATAATCAGGGCAGTGAGTGTTGTATAATTCTTGTTCAAGGTAAACAGCAATCATAAGGAACTCATAAGGAAACTCACATGTTTACTTATGTAAACTCATAAGGAAGCCTCCCACAATGCACACTGCTCCCAGGAATCTGGCCAAAGCTTGTCAGGTATTTTCAGCTGAGCCCATCTAAACTATCTTAATTTCTGATATTATATTTCTTATTTTTTAGTATTTCCGTTTCTTATTAAAAAAAAAGTTTCCACATTTCTGCCAAAATTCCTCATCTGTTAATACATGTGGTGTGCCTTGTCCACCAGATCTGGTATTTCTGTCACAAAGTTTCTGACTCATAACACCAATATCTGGATCATCTCTGGTTCTTCTATTGACTGTCTTCTTGATTATGGGCCACATGTGTCTTAAGATCTTGTATTACGTAGTTTATATTGCTTGTTTTAGTGAGAATAAGAAGTCTCTTGCAACTTCCTACATCTGAATCAGAAGTCTTTTCAGCAAACTATAATGTACTTATATTAGTAAGGAAGCTTTCAACTGCATATAACAGAATACCCAATTCAAAGTGGTTTAAACTGGTGCTTTGCAAGCTTTAACGTGCATGTCATCCATCTAGTGATCTTATTAAAGTGCAGACTCATGCAGTAGGTCTGACGCAAGCACTAAGAATCTGTATTTCTAATCAGCCTCCCAGATGACCAATGATCTACAGATCACACTCAAAGCACCAAGGGTTCGAACACTAAGTATTTTTATCTCATTTAATAACTCCACAGGGAGGTGGGCTGAAGGTTTAGTTTAGTAGCTCAGTGTTGACATAAAAAATTCAGGCTGTATTTTCTCTTTGACTATAACCAGCATGGAGGCCTTTATTCTCAGGCCATTAATCTTAAGATGATCTCTGTATCACTACATATCACATCCTCATGCAGCAAGGTCATGACAGGAAGGAAGGGAATTTTCTCAACTGCTAACTTTTGTTAAGGAAAACTCTGACAGATTCCTCCGCTGGTCTCACTGACCAGCACTGGGGCCATGCTCCCCTGCAAGGGTAGCTAAAAAAGAAACATCTGGCCTTTTCAGCCTATTTCAGAGATGCATTCTGCCAGCAAGGAAGAAAGGATCTGGGAATGGTTGTTAAACAGAAAACTATCACATCTGCCCCAGTACTGAACCAAAGGAAGCACTGTGCTCCCTGAATTCAGTCTGAACGTTTCACTTTTTTCTACACTTACACATTTGGCATGTTCGTCTGTCCTCTGTGAGCTTTTCAACGTTCTGTTCCATCCCCACATTCTTGCCTTGCTCACAACAGGCAATTCAATTTACTGAATAAATAATTCGGTGATCGCCTCCAGCTCAATTACCTCATTGTATGAACTATAACCTAAATACCCTGGTTCAAAGTTACACAGCAGAGTGAGCACAAGAACACCGGTTCCCAAACTCTCAACCCAGTAATTTTTCCAATAAACTGGTTGTTTATCAAACTTAACCCTTTAGCAATGTACATTTCAACTCAAATCCCTATCTATATGGTAGAACATAATTAATCTTCTTAGCATCAAATTTTGGAATTCTGGTGATTATTAGATAATCTTTTATCATTAGTTCACAGGCAAAGGCAAATCCAAATCATAACATCCTGATAATTCCATAACACTTTTCACAGTGGCTGATGTAACAAAGTGGCATATAATTCAGATGGCATGCCTTAATTGCTGCTTCAGGATAACTCTATTTTCCTGAGCAAAATCTTATTGGGACTTTCAAATGTCTATCACCATGGCTAATGTTGGCTGCACAGTGGACTTACCTGGACAATTTTGATAAATTCTGATGTCCAAGTCCCAACACCCTGCCCCACCCACTGAGATTCTGATTTAATTGGTCTGATGTGCTATATGGGACATCTGGATTTTCAAATATGGGACATCTGGATTTTCAAAAGCTCTCTAGGAATTCTAATGCATAGCAGCCAATGTCAAGAACCACTGGATTATGGTATTCACTTGGTAAACAAAACTACATAAACTATCAAATAGCTGCCCACATCGTATTCTAGGGACCAATGGAATCTAAAGCGTTACAAACCTATAAAATGTTTATTTTTGTAATCCTTACCTACAGGCCATAAAGGCATTATTCATATCTAATTTCCCCCCAAAACCTTTGCTAATACTTACAAATACAAAATGAATCTCATCAGAAAAAACAACAAAGCATAACAAAATTTCCAAGGACTTAGGGAAATTCTGTGACAGAATTTTGCTTAATTTACACAGCTGTGAAATAATTTGATGCCTCCTCTGATACTCCTCTACATAATTCCTCTGTATGTAGAGATTTCTGCTATAGCAGGATTTAGTTAATACAGTTTTGTGCTTTTAACAATACAAAAAATAATCACTTCATATTTCTTCATGATTAGTTTAACATGGATACACTGTAAGAATTATACCTTAATGAGTATGTGTAAAATCTTATAAAAAACTAAAAGAAAATATTTCTAAGAAAGGATAAAACAGGCAGAACTTAAGTTTAGTATTATGAATACAAAACCTAAGGGGTCCTCCCCAAATTGATTTGGACTTAAACAATCCCTTGAACAAATCTCAGCTATTTGCAGAAAGGGACAAGGTGACACTAAAATTCATATGGAAATCCAAGGAACCCAGAATAGCCAAATAATCTTGAAAAAGAAGAACAAAGCTGAAGGATTCACACTTCCCAATTGAAAAACTTAATACAGAGTTATTATAATTAGATAGTGTTTTGATGTACAAGGAAAGACATTTACATCAATGAAAACAGAGTTTAGAACCCTTGTGGTCAGTTGAATTTCTATCAATACAAGGATATCAAGACAATTCAATTGAGCAAGAGTTGTCTTTTCAACAAATGGTGCTGGGACAACAGCAAAAGAACAAAGTTGGACCCTTATATCATACAAAACCAATAATTCAAAATGAACTACAGATCTAAATATCAGAGCTAAAACCATAACACTAAAAAAATAAATAAGAATGAATCTCCATGACCTTGAATTAGTGATTTTTTAGATATAAGACAAAAGTACAAGCAACAAAAGGAAAAATAAATTGGACTATATAAAAATATAAAACTTCTGTGGGGCAATTGACACCACCAAGAATGTGAAAAGACAAGCTCTGGAATGAGAGAAACCAATTTCAAATCACATATTTGATAAAAAATCTAGAATATACAAAGAATATTTATCAGTAATAAATCAAATATTGACTGACAAAAATCAGGAGTAAAAAGACATCAATTTAAAAATAGGCAAAGGATTTGAAGAAACATTTATCTAAAGAAGATATCAGATGTCAAACAGCACATGAAAAAATGCTCAATACCATCAGTCATTGCTATTGTTGCTAAGTCACATCAGCCATGTCCGACTCTGTGCAACCCCATAGACGGTAGCCCACTAGGCTCTGCCATCCCTGGGATTCTCCAGGTAAGAACACTGGAGTGGGTT